ACTTTATATATTTCTATTTTACAGTCAATCCAGGTCAAACTGGAATGTGGGATTTTTGATTTTTAATGGGGTGTACACCTGGAGAGCTTTTCGCGGACGCAAAATTTCCCCCAATGTCCGCTATTGCCATTCAGTCGAGGATCTTTGTAAATTCTCCAAGAGGGCCCTAGGCCAGATATGCCGGTTTTAGGACCGTAGCATCCATAGATAGTGTTGATACTTTGATGATATTAACATCTAGGATGATGATGTGCTATTGTGTAGTCCTCATGTTCCACATATCACCAACGTTTGAGATCTAGACTAGGGTTTGGTGAAAATTGAGCTGTATAAATCTTCGGTTTTGATGTTTTTGTGTGCGGTTTACGGTTTTGATCGAAATCTATCGCGGTTTTTCGGTTTTGGGTAATTTTTAGAGCGGTTTTTCGGTTTTTTATAGACCCCAACACCCCCCTCCTATAAATATATATGGTCCTTGGTTTGGCTGGCCCATGGTCCGGCCGGTTTTACTTTGTGATATAATTTTCGAAAAGAGAAGAATATTACAATACAAACGAAACTTTGCGAGTATTTATTGATCTATTTGCCCTTTTAAGCTAGATTCGAGGCTTTCCTGATGCTAGCAGAGGCTGGGAAATCAAGTTAACGCGAACGCATGCATCACTTATTAATAAGTTAAATATATTGACCATTTTTGCTCGAGACTTTCCCAAGAGCACGGCACTTTATTTATTAGGTAATGTTATTATTCATTCAAAATATTTCCCCGTTACTGATTCGTAAAAACCACACGCATAATTCACTATAACCAGCTACGATTGACCAACTTTTGTCATATTGAATCCGATGACGTCAAAAGTGCAGCCTGGTTGCAGGTTATTGAACCGTTGACATTGAAAAACTGGGGACGAGGTTGAGTTGTTTTGGTAGTTAGAAGAAAATGGAGGAAGAGTCGGCGGAACATTTTCCTCTTTTCACGACGAAATATTGTCCAAAAACATGGCAAGAACAGCATGAAGACGGACGACATCTGCTATTTGGAGTATATTTGTAGACCTGAACAGACTTTTATCTTCTAAACTTCCCGATAAAGATGTATTATCGATATGAACTTACATCGACCAAGGTTAGCATGTTTTTGCTTGTTTTTAAACTTGGAATTATTTTGCAAGAATAATAAAACAATTATTGAATTCGGCTTTCGTAGGATATGAAGACTTCTGCAGATCGAGGAGGAGGGTGTTATCCACCTCAGCCTTCGGGCTCGGTGGATAACACCCTCCTCCTCGATCTATAGAATTCTTCATATCCTACTCAGCCTCATTCAATAATTGCTAAATATAGAAGGACATAACAAGGGCTTATGTCCGTCAAATTCACGGTTAAAGGGGGCTTTTGGAAAGTCAAAAAATTCAATCAATGGGTTTTAACGAGCAAAACACTGATTACTCTGCACGTGCATGGTGACGCACGCTTTTCGGTCGGATTTCTTTGTCGTTGCTGCACGGCTAATCCCAGGAACTTTAAAATATAAAATTTCCTGATAAGAAGTTTTTCTTGGGAACGTAAGCCAGCGACGAAATTTTTTTATTTCTCTCTAAACTTTGATTGGATTCATTTAAAATGGTGGAGATTTCGCTGCCGTCGCATTGTTAACTGCACAGCATAGTCATTCACTCAGAACACAGGCATTGTCGCGCGGACGCGGTCGCTAAGCTTGAATATTCACGTCGCGTATTACTGACCTGGTAGTTTGCGGTCATATCGAAGCGTAAAGGTCAACAGTGTTTGTTGATGAGCGAGCGATTATTGTGCAGTTGCGATGGGTTTTGTGGAGCCAGCGAACAAGAAGCAGAAGCACACGTTACCTGCAGATTAGCCGATGGCAATTTGGAGCGGATTCGTCGATTATTCTGGAATTTACAGCGCTTCGCGTGAACGCGCGTGGAGATGGTCAGTTTGTTTTGTAGCCAGCCTTTAATTTTTCTTTAGTGGATTAAGTACCTACAATTGCAAAACTCAACAAAAATATCACTTTAACCGGCCAGGAAAGACAAGGATACGTTCAGTTAAAGGTATCTTAGCTTTGTTTTGTTATATTTTGACTTTTGGACTATTTTAGTTCATGGGAGTTTCGACGACTCTTCCTAGTTTGTCCATGTGAATATTAATATATTCATTTGATGCATACTACGTCTGGGCCGCCTGTGCTCAGAAGCGAATAATAATGCTTCATGAGATCAAACTACATATAGCCCTTTACACAAAAATCTCATTCTGGTTTGGAAGTTTTAAATGATACATATAGGAAATATATAGAAGTTTAGATCAGATAGTGCTTGGAACGTCTTTTGCACACAGTTTGCATGCCGGCATACAAAGTCACCAAAGTGGCCGGACCAAGGAACCATGCTGGCCGGACCGGGGGCCTTCAAACGGAGCGGTCATTTTCTATGATGCGGGGTTTTCGGCAAAATTCAGAAGCTGTCGGTTTGTCACAAGTTAGTAAAATGTTACGGCAACTTTTTCAGCTCACTACTCTTCTTCTAAGATAATAAATACTCATTTACGTCTTTTCCGTCCGGACCAAGGACCACATACTGTACGGTACATATGTTTTGTAAAAAGTATTAGGCCAAATGAGGTTATACAATTT